TCAAATAGAACCTAAACCGGCGGTTCAGACCGCCACCTAAGAAGGTAGGTAGAGTTATGATTGACCTAAGACAGCGGTCAAATATAATCTAAGTTGGCGGTTCAAACCGCCACCTAAAAAGGAAACAACGAATTGATAAACCTAAGGCGGCGGTCAAAACCACCACCTTTATTAATGCTACCACTTTAGAGTTAATTGAACCGTTTTGGACCGGCCAACAAGGGTGGCGGTCTTTTTTGTCTAAGCCAACAGTCTTGACCTAAGCCGACAGTGATTTAGGGGGCGGTCTGTAGACCGCCGCCTTAGACCTAAGCCGGTGGTGGCGGTCTTAAGGCCTAAGCCGACAGTCTTGTGACCGCCGGCTTAGACCAATTTTCTTGTAGTGGGTGTTTGTGCTTGAATGCAATATCTTCTACCACCAAGATACTTGGTGACTACAAGGACTTGGTCTATGCCMTTGAGTTACAATGATTCTCTCATGTATCCCTTCTCTAAAAAATAGTGCTGATAGGAAACATTCTTATGAGTTGGAGGTTAGGTAGTAGAGAAAATGCTTCTCACGGGAGAAGGGTCCTCTCTCATATTAATTCTTTTAGGCAAGCTCTCCCTATCAAAGAACTTACCTAAAGAGTTAAGATTTAATTCCCATGATTTTCTCTCAATTAATAGCTCCATTATTTTCAAATAAATGGGCTCTTTCCAAATTTTAAATTTAAACTTGTTAATCCCCCAAATTATGGAGCTATTCTAGGAAGGTGTTCAAGTCCTAGCACCCACATAATGAGCTCTATTTGGGTGGTTGGATTAGGACCAAACAATCTGGATCATGGCCACTATGATGGGTCACTATAATTATTTATGATAATCACAATTTAGGACTTCATTTTGATAATATAATCTTAATAAAAATAAAAATATAATAGTAAATTGTTTATATGTTGATAAAACAAGTATTCTTAACCAAAAGGATTGATTGCAAATTAGTACCCAGCCTGTACTTGGGTCTAGTCTCASTTTGGACCCGAATTTCAAAATGTGTCAATCCAATACCTTAACTCCCAACATGTCCCAGTTTAGTCCAAAATCGTTAACCATCGTTAAGTGGTATATGAAAAGATACAAATGCCCTTCAAGTGTCATCTAATTTTCTTTATCAACCATCCAAATGCACAAATCCAAATGTTCCTCTGCTTGTTCACCATTGATTTGGTTCAATCTTAATTTTTGTGGAAGATGATGAACACAGTCTTATTTTGAAGGGTACATTTAAAATTTTCATAAATTTTAAAAAATTCATGTCATTAGGTGACAKAGATAACTGACGGACTAGGGACAAAACTCGAACATTTTGAGAATTCAGGTACTATATTGTCACGATTTGAAATTCAAGTACTAAAGTGAGACTAGACCCAAAATAGAGGGTATTAATCTGCAATTTACCCTAATGAATATTATTTTTTATACTATTCATAAAATTTATGCTTTTAAGCATAAAATATGAAAAATACAAAAAATGAGACTCTTATATATTATTAACTGTAATCAATAAATGGTTCTGAAAAACAAGAACCAGTCACAACCTAATTATTAATGGAAACAAAACTWCATACAAAAGTAAAGTGAGATAATCTATTCGATTGGTTTAAATCTAATGGACAAACCCAAACAATTAATAGTTGTTGGACCATACGCGGACTACCCCTTCCGAGAGCTAGCGGGCAGCGGCCRAACAATTGTAACAAGGTTGATTGGGTTTACCTATTCCCTTTCAACTAAGACCCCAGCGGGCAGCGGCCGAACAATTTAGTACATAATAAAAATACTCCCTGCTTTTTGGCTTTTTGTGTATGTTTTTCATAAGGATCATTTACTAAAACATCCCCTATAATTTTATGAATCTATTAAAACTTACCCTATAGATTGTGCTTTATGTGTCATTTGATTGCATTTTTTAGAGGTCTGAATTTGAAAATGCTACTTTTCAGACCTCACCCCTTATCTGGTTTTACCTCTTAAAGTTAGTCTGAATCTTATTTTCAGATCTGAAAATAATAGATCTTGGGCCTGCTCTTAATGTGTTCAAACCCGTTTCAGAGCCGATGCATAGTCTAAAATATCCTTATAATATTTGGAAATGACGTAGGYTACCCCTAATAACCCCAAACCCAGAAAACCAAAACATCCGACCTCTCTCTTTTCTTATGAAAATTATGGATAACTATTAAGGAAATATGGTTATGGAACCTAGGGAACTACCCTAGTAATATG